ACTTTCACTGTTAAAATATGCTAACAAATATACTATTAAATATAAATATACTGTTTCAATAGATTCGTTAACAATCGTTAATTGTTAAAATACTTAAAATACTTTTACTGCTAAATTTGCTAATAAATAGATTGTTTCAATAGATTCGTTAACTGTTAAAATAAACAAAACAGTTTCACTGTTAAAATATGCTAACAAATATACTATTAAATATAAATATACTGTTCTAATAGATTCGTTAACAATCGTTAATTGTTAAAATACTTAAAATACTTTTACTGTTAAAATATGCTAACTAATATACTATTAAATATACTGTTTAATAGATTCGTTAACATTTTTACTCAATTTATCTTCTATTTAATTTATTATTATTTGTTTAAATTCATTATATTTATTGTATAATATATTAATAATAATTTATTGTTATCTGTTTTGCTTAATTTATTTTTTGTTCGATATATTATTACTTTTTTAAATTTATCATATACCTCTTTTTACGTGAATACACTTACAAACTGAGAAAATATTGCAATATCGTTTCAGCGCAAGAGGTTTCGATTAATTACTTTTCTCACTCTCACCGAGTGGGTGGTACGCCTGACGACCAAACAAATGGCGGCCAACAGAGATCCTCTCTTCTTTTCGTCGGAAATGCAATATCACTGGCGCATACAGGGCCTCTTGTCGTCGCGAGACGTTTAATTATAATTCGGCCATCTCGATACTGACATTCCCCCGGCTAGTTTTCACACGTCGCCGAAATGATAGATCGCGACGACATGTTTCTTTCGACGAAACGTCTCGTCGTCAGCCAGGGCCGCCAACAACGACACCTCCCGTTTATAAGACGCGTGACAAACGATTTCCTTCGGACGATCAACTTCCTTTTTTTCGGATCGCGCTTTGTGGGAAAAGTCAGAGGGGAGCGTTTCAGGAAAAATCTTTGTATTCCAGACTGGACACAATATACGAAGAAATTTATGCATCATGTAATTTTTTCCTAAGATTTCTGTCATTTCAAGAACAAGTATATTGCAATTGTCAGGCAGTTTGTATATTAATAAATATATTTGTCATAAATTTGTTTATCTGTTCAACTCTGTCGTCAACGATCCTGTGCAATTCTCTTGTCTTGTATTAAAAAAAATAATAAAAATCTATCGCAGCGTATAATGTTATTTACTACAGCAATAATTTATTTATATTTGTATCGACAATTCTTTTATTTTGCATGGAAAAATGATAAAAAGAATGAAAATCCAGTTAATGTTATTTACAGTGCACTGTGAAACTGCAGCATATTCAATTCTTTTCTAAAGAAGATAAGTATATTCAATAATATATTTATATTTTTATCGCCAACGGACCTATGCAATTCTCTTGTTTTGTATAAAAAAATCCATCACAGCGTTTAATATTATTTACAGTGCAGCACCATCCCCAGTACTTCTCGATTAATATTAATAAATACATTATATTATATATATTATAATAATAATTATATTATATTATCAAAATATACATTATAAATATGTTGTATTAATCAATATTAATAACTATATTTTACAATTTATTTATACTTTTATACGAAGTATTTTATTATTGTTTCGTATTAAAAAAATAATAAATATCCGTTAGAGTATTTAATATTATTTACAGTGCAGCACCACCCCCAGTTCTTCTCGATTAATATTA